TTTGAGAAGGATTATTGAAGAGTTAAAAGGGAAAAATTCCCGAAGAAAATCTTTATTAACCCCAGTTTTACAGTAATTGTGCAAAGAAAAACGGCGGCGTTAATGCAGTTAAATCAAGCTGTGACGCTTCATCCCTGCATTTGTCTGATTACTAGATTTCTGAACAATGCTATACTACTTGAATGTTATTATGGCCATAGGAAATTTACAGAATATCTAAAACATTGAAACAATTAAAACCCGAGCAACGAACAAACAAGAAGAATTCATCGATAAAATACATTTATTATGTACAATCAAATACTTGCGTAGAACATGCCGTAAAAGACGAGGGGTAGGAGTATCTTAGTATACGTAACAGATGATGCAAGCAAGCAAGGACGGAAGTACACAGGGGGTGCAGGTATGCGGGTATACGGAAGGGTGCATTTATACAATTTCAGCAATATACATCAAGACAAACAATGCCGGGTACCTCGGTTACTGCATATATATATATATATATATATATATATATATATATATATATATATATATATATATATTTAATTTTATTAAATGAATGATGAGGTGGACAAGGCGGACGAACTGGATTTCTAATCAATATATTTAGGAACACCCACAATAGAGTACATATATATATATATATATATATATATATATATATATATATATATATATATATAAATAAACGTTTAATGATTTTGTTTTTTCAGATTTGACCAACATTTAGGTGATATTATTTTTTACATATAATTGCTATTACTTAAATAACATGATTCAATAGAGAAATAATAAATTTTACCCCAAAACAGTCATTCTTTTACTACTGACTTTGGTCCGTTTTAATGAAACACACTTTATATATATATATATATATATATATATATATATATATATATATATATATAGAACAATCACATATCCACTACAAAGTTGTTCATTTTTGTTTCAACGTCAAAAAAGGAAAACCTTTTTTAAACATCTCATCAGGTGGGAAATCACGGTGTTACTAAAAACTTTTATTCAGAAATACAGTTACATTCTAACGGAATTCAGTGGCCAGATTTGATCTCCTCTTAGCGCTTATCAACTCCTCCTCTTCCCATGGCTTCATTTTTTTTTCTTTATCTCTTCCTTTCCTTTTCTTTTTCCCCATTGTTCTTTTTTCCTTCCTTTTCGTTCACCCCAGAATACTTAATGAAGAACGGAAGTGGATGATATGAGCTTTGATAATTGTATTTCTGAATGAAAGTTTTTGGTAACACTGTTATTCCCCACCTGATGAGACGTTTAAAAAAGGTTTCCCTTTTTTGACGTTGAAACAAAATATGTACAATTTTGTAGTGGATATGTGCATGTTCTAATGTAACATTGCATAAGAAAATAAATATTTACGGCTCTACTTTGTGTATTGAGCACTGTTTTAAAATTAACGTTCTGAACGCTGTAATCTTACTGTTAGTTCTTCTACATTTTGATATATATATATATATATATATATATATATATATATATATATTTACATGTTGCACTCAGGAACTAAGTTAATTTCTGCCAAGTTTTCAATTCCGTTAGGAATTAACTCCAGAGGATGGCACCAGAGGCAAATATCTGCTGCACAATTAGCCTCTAAATTAAAATTCAAAGAAACCAATTGGAGCGCATACAATATCGAAAATCAACGGATGATAAGTCGCCTAACATACAAAGGCGAATTGTAATGGTGACATTTTCTCCTGGTTCCTTTCCCTGAAGATGATTCCAGACGGAATTGAAAGCATGAAAATGATTACACTTCCGGAGAGCAAGCATTATAATCTTTTGTATTACGTACGAACCCATATAAACACAGCTATTAATATTATATATAAATACACACACACATATTTATATATATATATATATATATATATATATATATATATATATATATATATATATATTAAATTAATTATAACAGACAATGGATGTCTATTATGTCTGATCATGAGCCGTTCAGATGTTTGTTTTAATTTCGGGTGAATATAAAGACAAAAATTGTCCAACATTTGGATATTTTTTTTATAATGTTGGTCCTAAGGTGTCGGCTTACATGACCCATCCACAAAGTGGTTACACAGGCATGAAACATATATATCCACCGTTGAAGTTGATATTTTGTTATTTTGGCGTAGAAAATTGCTATACGACGGTAACGGTCGTGGAGTAGTAGATGCTGATCGTAAGTTCAAGATGCGGTTCTATTACGTCATACCACGAGATAGACACGCGATGCAACAGAACCAGTGCATATTATATACATTTCTATCCTTGGTCGGTTCAGGAGACTCTTGTGCCCTAGCATATGTGCTGATTCCTTAAGTTAACTAATACGGGAACCAGTAATAAGGAGTGCCAGTGAAAAGCGTTAATAACAACAAAACTTGCAATATGATCTCTGGTAAAAACTTGCGAAGATAACAGCAAAAATTGCAATATGAGAACAGGTAAAAATGGTTGCTGAGACATTAGGTTTATAATACCCAGAAAATTCATACACTGATGTCCTCAGGGACACATGGCACAGTGAATAAAGGCGTTGATTAGATCCACTAGCAGGGCGTAGAGACAGGGTTCAATTCAAGGTTAAGGCAGTGGAGAAGTTGGAGAGGGGAATTAATAGATGATAACTGATAACTGACATCCATTAGTCTGTCCCAGTTCTACATTCCAACCACCTGAAGAAGGCCGAAACGTTGTAATAAATATGGTGACGCAGATGAGGGCAATAGTCTGAATAATGTAAATAATGTACATATTTATATTATTCTATTATTATAAAAATCTACATATTCAGGCAAATAAAAAGGTTTCATAATAACTAATAAATTAGTTTAAACGCGCTCGGATTCTATCTTCTTTTGAACTGTTCTTATACGCTCTAAATAAATCTCTAGTACGAATTCAAGAAGAAAACGTATGAAAAAAGCATAATTGTAGTACCTTATAAATTTTCTTCAATGAAACCTGTATAAATGACAGCTTGCTGCCCAAATACACAAGTATACAAGTAAAAAGATTGACAAATAAGGTGTCTTTCTTTCATAGCCGAATTTTTCTATGCTAACAGTTTCTTCTCTCGCACTTCTCGCTTGTGGAACTCTCTTCCGGCTTCTTGGCTTCCGCTGAAATTTGATCCTCAAAAACTTAAATGCAATATCAATTGTTATCTTCGGTCTTTTAAATTCCTGACACTGCATTATTTTCTCTCCTGACTCATTCTCTCACATTCAGTAATCCACTTTGTATTTTTATTAGTAATTCTGCACACACACACACACACACACACACACACACACACACACACACATGTGCCGCGCCAGATTCTCCCCGAAATCGATACTTCAAATATACAAATCAACCATTCGCCCTTGCATGGAGTATTGCTGCCATATATGGTCTGGTGCACCTTCTGTTTACCTCGGAGTTCTTGACAAGATCCAGAGACGGATATGTAATATAATTGGCCCTGATCTGGCGTTTCGTCTACAGTCACTCTCTCGCAGACACGCCGTCGCCTCTCTCTGTCTTTTTTACTAATACTTTCATGGTAATTGCTCCGATCTGCTTTCACTGGTTCCCAGACTCCATGAATTCAAGCGCCTTACGAGGCTGGCATCCCGCTCTCACCCTTACACTGTAGAAACTGTTAAATGTAGCCGTCTCTTCTACTCCAATAGCTTCATACCTCGCACCTCTCGCCTGTGGAACACCCTTCCCAATTACTGTTTCCCTGGGAGCTATAATCTCCAACTATTCAAATGTAATGTCAATCGACAACTCCAGTTACCTTGATCTACCCAAATGAAGCCCAATCGTTGACTCAAAAACTACCTGAGTCGTGCGAATCTTGCTGTATATAGGCTGCCACGTGTTATCAAATCCGGGTCTCCAACCGCAAGTTGGTTCGCTCACATAGTCGTCCACTTGCTAAAATTTAAAAACTGATAAATCAGGGAATTTCTTTTTCTGGATCTAAACCATCCTTAGCTATATATATATATATATATATATATATATATATATATATATATATATATATATATATATATACGCGCGCGCACACGTGTGTGTGTGTGTGTGTGTTTTGTCAGCGGTTTCCTTATAGGAGAAAATAGTTTTTATTAACCCAGCAGCCAATACTACAGAAAGGTTAAATTTATAAAATATTACTCTTAAAACAATTTTCCGAAAAGGTTGTTTTCGCCTATCTAATAAATGTTATTGCTTTGTCCAGTATTTTTCGGTGAAGTAGTGTGGAACGTCAACATCTTGATGATGATCTTATATTCTCTTCGATAATTTGTGAATCTGTATCGCCAGTCAAGGAGATTCGAAGAATGGCTGTCCTCGACAAGACCTAGTTGCTTCATTCAATCGAATCATTTTAAACCATTGATCTGAGAAAGATGTTTGTTTCCCTTGCCAGTTTAGATGTTTCTCACGGGATACTGTAAAATTAATGTTTACAAGCAGGGAAAAAAAAGATACTCGGAAAAGTCCGGTAGTAGATTGAATGAGCTATTTACCTCTGATCGAATAAATTTTAGTGATTTCAAGTAAGCCTCGTTTTCAATTTGCTTCCGGTTTTCATTTGTTTTTAAACTCATTAAAAGTAATTATACGTGTTTCGCAGTATTTTTGTCATTTTCATAACTTATACTTGAACAAACACACACTTTTCGAACTAAACAAATATATTTTGTATCTTATTTTGATTTGTCAAACATAACAAATGATAATAGATTAAAAAAAAATATTTATAATGGCGAACAGAATAGAGAAGTTCTTCGAAAATCAATTCCTTCGTCCTTTAAGAAAAGTTAACACGGAAACGGAAAAAAATTGAAATCAAGAAAACGAGGGAAAGAACAATATGGCAGAACAACACTTCTGGCGAGGATGGAAAGAACTCGAAATCAGAAATGTTAAGAAAAAGAAGAGTTGAAAAAACAAGTTTAAAAGGATTGGTGGAAAAACGAAAATAAACGAAGGATGCAAAGAAAAACATTACATAAATTGACAAATGAATGCTGGAAGGTATTAAACAAAAACAATACGTAATAAAAATGTCGAACGGAAAAAAAATAGATGACAAAGAGAAAGAAGAAAAATGTGAAAAAAAGTAAAGTGAACAAGATAGAAAAGTAGCGGCAGATGAGTTGAGAAGTAAAGGATAAATGTAGTAAATTTAAAATCGAATCAGAAGGAAACTTGATAAAGAAATGTTGAACAAATGTAAGAATGAACGAGACACATAAAATGGTAATAGAAAGATATTGCGGCAGAAAGGCAACAGGAAGTGTAACTGAAGAAGGAAGTCCAGCAAATGAAAAAAGGCAAAAAATGAAGATAATTCAATTAAAAAAAAAAATATATATATATATTTATATTAAAAAGAAAAAAAAAAAGTAAGACATATATATATATATATATATATATATATATATAGTCAACACTAGACAACAAGCCCCAAAGTTATCAAAAGAATTATCACTAATTATTATTATTATTATTATTATTATTATTATTATTATTATTATTATATGTTTAGGAAGACCCGTTTCCGAATGAGTGTTTTTCGCCCGATTATTGTGTGAATGCAACTTTTTGAACAAATCGACGAGTCTATATGAAATTATATCTATCTATCTATCTATCTATCTATATATATATATATATATATATATATATATATATATATATATAGTAATTTATTTATTTGTTTTCATTATATATATATATATATATATATATATATATATATATATATTTAAGTAAAACAGACCATTTTAAGTCTCCATTGTAATAGTTTATTTCACCAGAGACCTTTTAAAAGTACCCAGGAACATTAGACATCACTTCCAAAACGTGACACAAAAAATGGAAAAAAAAGAAAAAAATTCGAGTCACCTTTTGGAAGTGATGTCTAATGTTCCTGGGTACTTTAATAGGTCCCTGGTGAAATAAACTATTACAATGGAGACTTAAATTGGTCTGTTTTTCTTTAAATTATTAGCTCTGAATTTACATTGAGCTCTCAGTTTTTCATCCTCCTTGGGACTACCCATACGGATTACCAAGTTTTTCGTAACTTATATATTACCAAGTTTTTCGTACCTTATATATTTCGTAATATATATATATATATATATATACACACACACACATACATATATATATATATATATAGCAAACTCTATTATTATGGAAGAATTATTTAAAAATTAGGAAAATGCCAACATTAAATACTATTAGCTATGAACACAGCCACAATATGCTGACCGTGTTTAAAACA